CTTTTCATGTATGTATGAGGGTGTTATGTGATTTTTTTTTTTAACAAAGGGGCTCTGTGCATAAGTATAAAAATTCCAAGTGATAAAGAGTTGTGCCATAGTTAAGTTGGAATTTTGTTCTTTCTTAGTAGTACATAAAATAACAGTGTATATAAAGCACATCTCAGCTTCTATGAAATACCTTCCTGCCCAAAATACCGAATCAATTTTTAAAAACTAGTCTCTTATTCGTTCTTTTAATGTCTTCTATTAAAATTTAATTTAAATAATTGAGTTAATAAAAGTACAAAAAATCAAGCCTTTGATATAAAGTAATGACAAAAGAGCATATGCCACTCAACAGAAGGAGAATATTAAATTAAAGCTGTGCTCTGACTGATTAGGGCTTTGATTTCATCAGGTCCTCCAGTGATACTAGTTTGGTAACTTATGTTTCAATATAAAGCATGATTTCTGGCCTATTCTATTTGATATTTATTATAGATACTAATTGTAAGACAGGTCCTGAATTAGGTACTAGAGATGACAGTAAGAATAAAATGCAGACATGGTCTCTGCTTTTTTTGGTGTTCAGTATCTAGTGAGAAAGACAATAGGTAAGTTACACAAATAAATAATTATAAATTGTTATAAATATTGTGAAGAAACAACTGGGAAATGAAAATAAACTGGGCATTCAATTTCAGATAATAACAATGGTAACGGTGAATACTTATATCGTGCTTACTATGTGCCAAGCTCTGTACTACATGCTTTATATAATCTTCAAAACAACTACATAAAGCAGATACTATTATTACCCTCACTACATAAACAGAGAAAATGAGGCTTTGATAATTTAAGTAATTTGCCTAGGTCACATAAGAAGTAAGTGGGGAGCTGGGATGTGAACTCAAGACAGTCTGGCTCCAGAGCCTTTGTGCTCATCCACTACAATATTACAGAAAGCCTTTCTGAGAAGGTGTCATTTAAGTGGAGGCCCAAATGATAAGCAGGTAAGGCACTGGTGGGAGAAATCATGTATAAAGCCCTAAAGTGGGAAAGGAGTCCTTTAGTTTTAGGAAATTAAAGGTGACTAATGTGGCTGGAGTACAGCTAATGAGAGCAAGTGTGTCAGGAGACAGGGCTGCAGAAGGCAGGTGCTACATCAAGCAGGATTCCATGGGCCACAGAAGCTGGATTTTTATTCTAATAAGTGCAACAAGAGCTTCTGATGACTTTAAATTGAACAGTGACATAATCTGATTTATTTTTTAAAAATATCTTTCTAGCTAATATGTGAAGAATGAATTGAAAGAAGGTAAGATAGGTAGAGTCCAAGTCATTCATTTATTCAACAAATATTAGAAAGTTTATGGAGTAACTATTACTGTGGCAGGCACTATTCTAGATACCAGGGATACAGCTAAAAACAGTACATACAAGGTCCTCTACTCTGGAGTACCCTTTAGAGTGGTAAACACACACAAACACAACTACCTCCTCTATGTTAATAATTTCTCCCACTGTACGGGACATTTTCCATCAGTATACGAATTCTAGCAGCTCTCATCTTTAAACAAACATCAAACAAAAATCTATCCTTTGACCTTTCATTCCCCTCTAGCTAACATCCCATATTTCTACTCCCTAACCCAGAAAAACTTCTTTAAAGAACACTCTGTGGTAGCATCACCTCCAGTTATCATCTCAATCCACTACAATCAAGTTCTTCTCTTTTAACTTACTAAAGCTGCCCTTGTCAATGTCACGACACTACCATTGTGAAGTCAATTGTTCACTTCTCTCTCCTCATCTTATTTAACCTCTTAGGAATATTCACACTGTTAACTATTCCCTCTTCTTGAAACACTCTTCAGGTTTCCTCCTTGCTAACCTCTCCTTCTCAGTCTAATTAAAAGGCAATACAGCATAGTGATTAAGGGCATGGCCTTCTAGAGCTAGCTCTGAAGACAAGTTGTGCTTAAGGCATGGAGGACAGATGTTGGAAGAGAGTGCTCCCCTTTCCTGTGCAGGCTAGAAAACTAATCAGTATTTCAGGTGAGAAATGATGGTGGTTTAGACTAGAGTGTTAACACTGGTGATAAAGAGAAATACATGGATTTAGCTCTATTTTAGAAGTATAGCCAATAGAACTATTGGATGAATTGGATATGGAGAGTGAGGGACAAGGAGAATCATGGTTTCTTCCTTGAGAAACTGGTAGAATTGTAGAGTTTACTCAATGAAATCTTAGAAAAAAAGGTTAGAATTAGAATGAAGTTTGTGACCCAATAAAATGCTAGTGAACATTATCTAATAATCACCTGAACTTAGAGATGATCTTGTTTGATGCTTTCCATTGAAATTAATACCTGGAAAAGGCTATGTGATTTACCCAAAGTCACACAGATAATTGGTGGTAGAGCTGGAAATAGAACACAAGTCTCCCAGAATCCTGCTAAGAAGCCACAGATCGGGGTCAGGCAAGATGACCATTACTCACAAACTAGCTGAGCCTCTGTTCTTTAGTCCTCTTCTTCTCATGAACAATGCAATAAAAAATATTTTAATAAAATTTTTGGGTTTATTGAATATAGGTAAGCAAGTTATAAACTGTGTATTTATATTTTCTTTAAAAAAGTGAGAGAAGGCAGACAGAATGTAAAAATCAGTCTTACCCCTGAGAATAAAATATACTATAAAAGTCAATTAATAACATTTGCTCATGTATACTACTTGTAAAAGTTAAAGTATATGTGAAATTCCTTCTCAAATAGTTTACATTCTAATTTGCAGGATAACACACATGCAAATAATTCAGGACTATAGGAGAGATGTCATAAGGCAGTACTAGAATAACTGCCAAATGAATTATATAAATAATATTGTTTTTAAGAAAAGTACTCTGGAGTAGGCCTTAAAAGAAGGTAAGGTTTAAGCTAAGCTTTGAAGGATGACAAGTAAGATTTTAAAAAGTAAATAGGTACATGTCTTCAGTTGTTCTAAAAAAAAAAAAGTAAATAGGGAAGGGGATTAAATTAAACAGAGCTATAGAGTGTTCACTAGGGTACTAGGCTTGGGGCTGGTGGTAGGGAATGGAGAGAATGAGCTATTTTAGATTGGGTAGGCAGAGATATTCTCTTTGGTATGACATTTGAGCCTGAATGATACAGAGGAACAAGAAATGTGGTGATGGGAGGAGAGAAGAATATTCTAGGCATAGAGAACAAGTACAAATACCCACTACATTACTTGCCTATGCATTAGGCTCCATAGATCTAATACACAGAAATCTTGTTCAATGGTAAAAGAATGGGATACAAATTTCTAAACCTGAACTTAAACAATGCCACAAATTTTCTTTCTGAGCTCAGCTTCTTCATCAGTAATAACTATTGCACAGGACATGTAAAATAATGTATATAGAAGTGTTTTAGAAACAGAACAGTTATAAAAATCAGTTCAAAAGGAAAAAGTTATAAAGTTAAAAATGGAGAACTGAATTATGATCATTGCTGATATTACTGGTGGAGTACCTTTTTACCTTTACATTTTCTCTTTTTGTAGCTTTTTATGTACATGCTTTATCTGCCTTGCCGGATTATAAGCTCCCTGCAGGTAGTAAACATCTTAAATATGGCACCTGGCACAGATTTTTAGTAAGTATTAGCTAAGCAGACATATCAAGCTAGTAATTCATTTTACTGTCCTTTGAAGATTTGTATTTGTGTGTTTATGTGTGTATGTGTTCAAAAGTCCATTCACTTGCGAAGGATTTGAGAGGGCTTATGATATCATGAAAAGTTAATGGAAACGAGTATAGATGAATAGAAATAATAAGCAAGTAATTGTCTTAATTACTACTTCTGGCCTTTGGCTGATATTTCCTGGCAGCCAAAGGAAGGAAATAGGCTGGATCCCACAGTATGACACCTAATGGACCACCAAGTTAGGCATTTACACTCATCTGCAGAGCCCTACTTTTTCCAGGACGGAAACCCGCAGGGGACTTTGATCACGTGGGCTTTCCTAAAGAATCAACAACAGTCTACACATAACTATGAAAACAGAGAAATACATCAATATGACCCTTCATAAAGTCTGAGAAAATCTGAGGAAAGGTACAGATTAATCTGAAGGGCCGCTTAAGTTTTTACTTGGTTCTGCTATTAGTTCTGCTCTGTTACGATGGAACCACTTATAACACAATCCTCATTTTTTTCTCTAGGGCCTATTGGCAATCGCAAAACAGCACCTGAGTCATTTCATCGCCGCAAAAAACGGTCAGCAATAGCCCAGCTGCTCGTTGGCAGCCTCGGAGCCAGGCGGGGCCCGTGACTCGCACTGGGGGCAGTGTCTTTGCTCGGCCTTTAGACGCAGGGTTTGAGGGCAGGCGGCTGCTAAGGGTAGGTAGTGTTCGGTGTGAGGGTGGGTCTTCTGTCGATGGGGCTGGGAGGTAGGGAAACAGGTAACTCAGGGCTGCCGCGTTGTCCAACTCCAGGAGTCACCACGGCAAACCCTTCCTCGACGCGGAAATCTCTCCTGCCCCCGAAAGAGCGACAGAAGCAGCTGACGCCAAGGAAATCCTTTCTGTGGGTCACAGGGACCAAACCCAATCCCCGGGAATAATGCGCTACCATCCCAGTCCTCCCTCAGACCCCGGAGCTCACCCACCTTCAACTGCAGTCTCTGTAGTCTCCACCCCAGTCTCTGTTCCTCTAGAGGACTGGTTGCGATTGGCTTGCACCGCTGTCCCGTTAACTCTTCCCCAAGTGTGAGTGGCGTAACTGTCGGGCTCTCGGCCTTGGTCCCTCCCTTCGCTACCCGCCGAAGCCACGCCCACGTGACGTCACACAATGCCGCAAAGCGCAGAGGCTGGTGTCGGTCTCCGCCCCCGGCAGCTTTCTCCGATTGGCGTAGGCTGAGTTGGGGGCGGGGCAGGGAGGGCTCTCAGAGGGCAACTTGCCCGCCGTCATAGGGCGAGGCTCCGCCTCCTGCGTCTGTGCGGAAGAGAATGGGGCGAGAAGGCCCACCCCCTGCGCACAGACGCAGGGAAGAAGGGGCGGGGCTACGCTAGCGTCCGCGCCATCAGGCAGAGGTGGCGAAAGGGTCCGTTCTCTGTGTATGGTTTTGCCAGCCAAGCGGTTTTGCTTGGTTCCATCCATGGAGGGCGTGCGCTGGGCTTTTTCCTGCGGCACTTGGCTGCCGAGCCGAGCCGAATGGCTGCTGGCAGTGCGATCGATCCAGCCCGAGGAGAAGGAGCGCATTGGCCAGTTCGTCTTTGCCCGGGACGCTAAGGCAGCCATGGTACTACAGGTCTTTTGGTATTCAGAGCGGAGGAAACAGATGTTGGGGGAGGTGGGCTGGGCGGTGGAGACCCACCTTCCGGCCCTAGCGTCGGCACCCTTGCTCCTGGACCACTCGTGGCCTGCCTGGGGTGAGAGTGGTCGGTGCTGCAGTGTTTCTGGCGTGCGCACGGCCTGGTTTCCACGGTCTTTGTAACCTCAGCGGAGGCCTCGATCGCTGTGAAAATTAGCTCCCTCCCTATGTAATTGAAAATAGAAACCCTACTAAGCCATAAAATAAGTGTAGGGAAGGTCTATGAAATAATTTTTTTCGTAATGAATGTTTTTATTTTTAAATGTTACCAAAATCTGTTTTTTTCTTTGCTTGGGTTCACCAGCCCATGTTTAGTGTGCCTATTGAATATCCTACCACCACCCAATGGTAGCCTACACGTGGTAGGCCCTAGAAAATATTGGTATATGATTTAGTTTATGGCCTTGCGCACCCTGGTACTGGAGTAGGCCGAAGCCAGCCGCCCCTTGCCAGTGAAAAAGAAGCCCAGAGAGAATACAGGCCCAGGCATACTTTCCTGACTAGGTACCTTAGGAAACAGTATTTTTAATAGATTTATTTATTTTAGTTATGTATTTTTAATCAACAAATGGAAAATTGGATTTCAAAATAAATTGCTACTGTACTGTATAGTACAATTTCGAAACAACCTCTAATTACCATCACTTCCAAGACATTTCTTGAAAATGTACCATATTGAAACACCTTTCTGTTTGAAATGTGGGCTAGTTGATAACTTTTTGAAGGCATATTAGTGAATATTTTTTGTACTTTTTTTATAATTGTAAGAAATTGTGAAGTGAACTAATTCTGAAGGTCTGCAGTTTTTTAAAGTGTTAGAATTGAAGGAGGGAAAAAACCCTGAAAGGTATTTTTTTTTAAATAATATACTTTGCCATTTTATACCCTTGGGTTTTTGTGTTTTCAGTAATTTCTGTCTTAATAATTAATGGAGGTAGGAGAGAGTGAACAAGGTAAGTCATGCTTTGCTAATTGTTGAAGATGAATGATGAGTATATAGGATCTAGAAATACACATATGCGCGGATGTAGGTATGGTAGGGCTGATTACTGTGGAATTTTTTCAAACAGCAGATATCGAGCCAGTCTAAAATGCACAATAATCAGGGAATAGTCAATACTTCTTTTGTACCTCAATACTATGAAACGTTACGCGACAGTTAAAAGTGCACGGACCAGACCAGTAAGTACAGACATAAAATAATTCCCAGTACTTACAAATTAGAAACCTATGTGCAGTAGAATATTACGTTAAGTGTGACCTCATATACCTGTTCCTATAGAGCAAAAATAAATGCAAATGAATATATATTTAAATACTTAGAGAAAAGACTGAAAGGATACCTGCTGTTTACATTGGTTATTAGTTAATGGGAGGGAATTGATATGCAGGGCTTTAAAGTTCTAGCTAATTAAGCATTGCTTAAATCTTAATGCAGTGGATTTAATACTTAGGAACTTTGCAAACTTTTAAAAAGAAAAATTTTAGAAGCTACAAAAATATGTATTTTTTATTTTTATATACATATATTTGTATATTACAGGCAATATACGTATATCTTGAGTAGACATCAATACATATCAAATGTTCTATGTACTTAACAGGCTGGTCGTCTGATGATGAGGAAATTAGTTGCAGAGAAATTGAATATCCCTTGGAATAATATCCGTTTGCAAAGAACTGCAAAAGGAAAACCAGTTCTTGCAAAGGACTCACTGAATCCTTACCCCAATTTCAACTTTAACATCTCTCATCAAGGGGACTATGCAGTGCTTGCTGCTGAACCTGAACTACAAGTTGGAATTGATATAATGAAGACTAGTTTTCCAGGTAATGTGGCATTTTTGTAGTACAGAAATTGTGTCTTGCTGCCTTAGTTCTTACCTATTGAGTAATCTCAGGCCAGGAGGTGTATTACAGATAGTTAAGGTTAGGGAAAATGAGCTCAATACTCAAGGGTAATATTTACTTGAATATTAACAAACTTCTGTATGAATAATAGAGTCTCCATAACTGGGGATCCATATAATACTTCACATAGAGACAAAGTGAAATACAAAGATTTTTTTTTTTTTTTAACTGTACCTCAGCTTGTTTCACTTAAGCATTTCTGACAATTTGTCAGTAAGTTGATTTGTTTAAAAAAAGAATCCCAATGATAGAAATTCTTAGGTAGAAATAATATGCACAGTTGACCCTTGAACAACATGGGCTTAACTGTGTAGTCTACTTTTATGTGGCTTTTTTTTCAGTAAATAAAATTGGTCCTGCGTATCTGGGAGTTCTGCATCTACAATCAAACGTGGATGGAAAATACAGTATTTACAGGATGTGAAGATCAAGGATAGGGAAGGCCAACTATTCAGATCCGCTGGTTCCAAAGGGCCAACTGCAGGACTTGAGCATGTGCTGGATTTTAGTATCCAAGTGGCGTCCTGGAACGAATCCCCTGCAAATACCAAGGGATGACTGTATTTGTGCTATATTGAAATATAGCTCTTTTTAGCACATTTATATAAGTAAAAATGAAGAGCAAGCACTATTAAAATATCTAAATTACTTATACATTGTGTTAGACATTGTATTGGTGGCTTTAGGAATCACTAACATTTATGATAGGGTTGAGTATACCCAGGCTATTTTAATACTTAAATACTAAATACAGGTTCTCTTAACTAATCTTATACTCATCATCGTCACTAACATTTAGTGAGCACTTACTATGTGCCACAGCATTTAACAAAGTGTTTTGTGTATATTTTCTGATTTAATTCTTTCAAACACCCTGTGATGAATATACTTTTATCAGAAGATAAGTAACAGGCTGAGAAGAAAGCTCTTTATAAGAGAAACCACATCTTTCTAATTTCATTGTACAACTCTCTAATCTTCCACGCTGCCTCCACCATGGGTTCTTTGAATTGTTCTCACAATGGAAGACTTATTAAGTTTTATTCCCCACCCCCATTTCTGCATAGATAACTCTTATTTACTGGTTACATTTCACATTAACCTTACTTTAGGGAAGCATTGATGAACCTCCAGTTTATAGTTATTCGTCAGGGTGATTGTCTTTCCTCTGATATTTATAAGCTATGTGAGAGCAAGAACCGTCTTAGCTACATCAGACTTTGATCACTATCACATCTCTTAACACCTTGCCTAGTATATAATAGTGCCAATGAATATTTGTCAACTGAATAAACACTGTGCTGTAGTATAGGCTTCAACATATAGCTGTGACTCTCATCTCACTTTTGCTTTTATGGTCTTTACCTTACAGTTTCCCACCGGCTCCTCTTTCTCAGACCTGATTATAAACCTCTTGTTTTTAACTGTTTTGAAGTTTGCTCAGAACAAGGTTCTGTTAGCGTTTTGGAAACATTGTAACAGGTTCTTGACCTGACTCTGTTGATAAGCTTCAAGGCATTTTTTTTTTTAACCTCCTGAAATTGTTGGCTGCATTTTGTATGAATGTGCACCTGTGCATTTTTGTGAGGAGAGGATCTGGATTCAGTAGAGTCATAAAAGGCTTATTCTAAAAGAACCTCTGCTATAGAGGATTCAGAGTGAGCATGGGAATTCGCCTATTTGTTTTTGTAGCTTTCTACTGTCCTTACATGAACTTTTTTTTAAAATCAGAAATTAGTGGAAAGACCATTATTTCTTAGAATGCAGTCAGCACAACTACACAGTAATGATTGGCCCAGTGGGTTGATGTCTGCTTGGAAATGATGCCTGCGAGAAACAGATTTTATTACCAATTGACTTCATGGGCAGTGTTGGCTATGATCAATACCGGATAAACAAGTAATTACTAATTGGAGCTTTTAATATATGATGGGAAGATAATTGAGCAAAAATTGAAGATTCAGTTTCCTGTTATGTTTTATTAGAACCTTACCCCCCCCAGCTTTTTTGATTGATCTTATTTGACTAATCATAATATCTAGGCCTTTTCGTTTTCTTTGATTGTTTCATTGTCAAAAAGCTATTGTTATGTCCAGTAACACATAAGGGAAGAGATATTTTCCAATTGTCACTAATATTATTACCATGCCACTAATTTCTGAAGTATAAATGAACACAGCACGATGTCTTAGTGAGGGTAGGAAGTAGATACTGACTTGCTTTATTGGAGGTTCATTCGAATTGCTCTGCTTATCAGAATAAGTGAGGAAATTGAGCAAGAGATGTTCCTAAGAGGATTGCTAAATGGTGGTAGGCAAAACTTGGGATAGCAACAAGGGAAGTATATGTAATATGTTTGGGCATTGTTACTAGATTGTCTGTCAAGAGGAGTTGGCTTTTGAGGGCATCATTAGTATATTGAAAGAGTCAACTCTGTCACTCCCGTCATGTAAGAACTTTAGGCGTCTTTTTCCATTTTGTTGTATTACGCATTTCTACTAAGTGCAGCTCATTTCCCTGCCTCTCTCAGTTCTCCCATTGCTGCTGTTGCAGGGCAGGGGAGAACATATTGATTGATGAATCTAAGAAGCTCTGGATTTCTTCCTCCTGGGTATATGCTCACTATTAAGGAGATATTGCAACCACCACTTTATTTTCTGCTTAATGAAGAAAGTAACAAAGGAAACTTATACAAAAATAACTGGTATATAGTCAGCACTCAGTAAATTTTTGTTCAGTGAATATGCAAAGAAGAGGGTTTATAAGATATTGGGGACCCTAGTATAGCTATACTGCAGGGCAATACATTCCTTTTCCTAGGAAAAATGGTATTTTCTTGGTCCTCATCATTCACTACCCCCAATTGGGAAATTTTGGTTGGTTTTTCCTTCTTTTTTAATTTTTTATCTACCATTAAAGGTGTTTGCAGTAATAAATACAAAGGAAGGATAGTTTTATGAACTGTTCAGTTTTGTTACCATATTTACAAAATAAGGCAAGATAAGATAGGCAAAATACAGTATAAAAATCATGACTTAAATTTGGGAAAAGACCAAAATTTTTTCCCACTTTTTTATATTTTCATCTTTATGTTTTTTAATAAAGTTCGCTGGATATTAGTGGGCAGGATAAAGTAACTCATAAAAATATTTTGGGATACAACACAAATTTTAATTAATTTCAGTAATTTGAAATGACTATTATGAAATTGCTTTCTAGAATAGCCATTACACAGTATTTCTTGTCTCTCCGCCACCATCTCTCCTTTAGTATTTTAATAATTTCCTAATTGACTCCTCCTTTCACTTTTGTCTTTACCCAGTCAGTACATTCTCCATCTGTGTAGAGTGGAATGGTCTTTTGAAATATTTACAGCAGTTTTCTTAAAAGTATTTGGTTCTTGGTGCACATAGAATAAAATCCAAGCCCCTTAACATGACCCTATTGTCTTGTTCTCATCTTCCTCTTCATTCTCATACCTCTCTACCACTTCTTATCTCTAGCTACTCTCTTTGCTTACTGTTTTCTTTCCACACTGGTCTTTTATTATACTAAAAGTAGCAAACTACCTGTTCAAGGTCATCGCAAAAAGAGCTGATCCTTCTGCCTGTTCTCCCTACTCTTTTCTTGACTTCCTGAGACTTCAAGGATGAGAAGGAGCCAGTACCACCTTGGAAAGGACTTTCCTGACCACCTGATCTGCTTTTTCTTCATGGCCCTTCTTATTTGCAGTTATAACTTAATTATTTGATTATTTATTATTCCCTTCATTAGAAGAGTTCAGGAATCACACTTGTGTCATTTTTGTCATAGTATACCTAGTACCTAGCAGAGGTTGTAGCACATAGTAAATACTCAGTAAATATTTATTGAATGTACAAATGATAGGAAAGAATTTAGGGGACCTCTACATTTAATTCCTTCAATTTGTTGAAAAATAAAAAAAAATAGGTATACAATCACAGTGAAAAACTGTATTCATATCAGATTCTAGGTGGAATATAAACTGTTCTCATCAGTGTGTTAGGATTAAAAATAGTGCTTCCTTTGAGTATTTTTCCTCACCCATCCATTTATCTTCCTAGCTTTTTCTCTTCTCCGTTTCCATTCCTTTCAGAGTCTACTTTCAACTTTGTTGCTGCTGCAAGTCTATTCCACTATCATTTCTATTTAGGTTGATCTTCATTCTTCTAGATCTGCATTTTATAGGAGATGCTTAGTTAAAGCAATTTTTTTTAAAGGTTGGAGATTTAGAGCCTATAAGCCTTTACAAAGTCACATATCACTTTGTACTCTGAATTCCTTACTGGAAAACCAAGTCTTCACTTTCAATGAGTTTTTCCCCTACCCAGTTATAGGTGGATCTTCTCCATTGTCTATGGAACTAGTATTTATTGTGGAACTCCTATGAGTGTGACACTGTGTTAAATGCCTTAAATGTATTATCTTATTTCATCCTCTTAAGCCTAGGGTGTTATTACTGTTGTTATTTTAAATAAAAGGTTAAGACACTTGCCCAGGGTGACTTAGCTAAAAAGCAGAAGCCCATACGTTCACAGCAGTGTGAATGTGCTTAATTGGTACATGCTACAGCAGTGGTCCCCACCCTTTTTGGCACCAGGGACCGTTTTCATGGAAGACAGTTTTTCCTTGGACCGTGGGAGGTGGGGGGTTTTGGGATGATTCAAGCGCATTACATTTATTGTGCACTTTATTATTATTACATTGTAATATATAATGAAATAATTATACAACTCACCATAGGTTAGGGACCCCTGCTCTACAGTATTCGGTCTCCCAGTAAGAGATTTTATTGATTCCTGTTTAAGAATTTGCAAAGATGAGATCTATGAAAAACTCTATGTAACTGTGGTTAAGTTTGAAGTTACAGAACTAATATCTAAGAATGTACAAAATAT